GGGGAGATAATTGGGAATTAATGAAAATTTGGTGGCATATTCAAAAAATCTTCTTCTCAAGAACCACTGTGCCAGGAAAGATGAAACTTATGGGGAAACATCCTCAGGTAGTGTAGATTCAAGTTTGTTCAAATCATGACCCCCGGGGGTAGGGCGAGGCCAAAATGGCCGACCAAAGTTTTACATAGAAATATAAAGGAAAATTCTTTAAAAATCTTCTTCTCAAGAATGACAAAGCCATCATTCATCATATTTATATGGAAGCATGTTCAGGTAGTGTAGATTCAAGTTTGTTCAAATCATGACCCCAGGGGGTAGGGCGGGGGCCAAAATGGCCGACCAAAGTTTTACATAGAAATATATAGGAAAATTCTTTAAAAATCTTCTTCTCAAGAATGACAAAGCCATAATTCATCATATATTTATATGGAAGCATGCTCAGGTAGTGTAGTTTCAAGTTTGTTCAAATCATGACCCCCGGGGGTAGGGCGGGGCCAAAATGGCTGACCAAAGTTTTACATAGTAATATATAGGAAAATTCTTTAAAAATCTTCTTCTCAAGAATGACAAAGCCATAATTCATCATATTTATATGGAAGCATGCTCAGGTAGTGTAGATTCAAGTTTGTTCAAATCATGACCCCCCGAGGTAGGGCGGGGCCAAAATGGCTGACCAAAGTTTTACATAGAAATATATAGGAAAATTCTTTAAAATTCTTCTTCTCAAGAATGACAAAGCCATAATTCATCTTATTTATATGGAAGCATGCTCAGGTAGTGTAGATTCAAGTTTGTTCAAATCATGACCCCCGGGGGTAGGGCGGGGCCAAAATGGCCGACCAAAGTTTTTAAAGATATATATAGGAAAATTCTTTAAAAATCATTTTCTAAAAAATAGCAAATCCACGATTGGTCATGGGACTACTTTTGGATTTAAACTTTACAATAAAAAGCCATTTTCTTCTTTTTCCTACCCTTAATGCTCAGGTGAGCGATGTGGCCCATGGGCCTCTTGTTTTGCTTAAGTAGAATATACACAGGGATTAATCAAGGAAATATTTACTACCATCGATTTTGGGTATTTTTCCCTCGGAGAAAATTTCTTGATATTCCATTTTCACCTTTTGATGAGTAAAAAATCCCCCAACAATAATAAAAAGCTCAAATATTTTTTTTTCCTTCATAAAAAGTGGAAATTTAGAGTAACATGTTAAGAAGATGTGAATTAGGATTTTACTTTGCTATTTTCTGCACTATAAATGCCATTAAATGGTCATTAAATGATGAAATTCAGTTGAATTCCCAATAGTGCTCGCCCTGTAGCCACTTGGGATATGGAGTGGCCCCCACAACCCCAGCTGATTTTCCAAAGAGCTAAATCCACGAAGTGCAAAAATAGGCCTAGTCATCAAAATAAGTTAAACTTTCTCACATTATACTCTAAGATTTGTACGTAGTAAAACATTTTATTTTTTAAGAATATCTTTAGCATTGTTTTCTGAATCAATGCTGTCACGTCATTACATTGACGTTATATGCTTCAACATCGTGACATTGACGTTTTGTATAAGAATAACAAATATATTCGTTAATGGAATAAAAATCACCAATATCATTGATTGGGATGGCCAAAATGGTCAATGGGACTATGGCGTAACTGTCAACATTTTTGATGGGCCATTTCGAAAATGAATGGGCCATCAATATAATCTGAAGGGCCATTTTAAGAAATATAAAAGTGACAAATAAATATGAAATACGAGAGAAACACGTTTTTAATGAACCGAATCCGATTTTAACGCATGAAATGCAGGAAATTTAAAGGAACTTTCTTAGAATATAACTGACCCGTATTTTGTGTTAAAATTACGACAGTTTTGGAAAGGGAACAGCCCAACCATACAAATGAATGAAGTATTGTACCTCATATAAGTGCTTCGTTTAACCGGAAGTACTTTTTGAAGGTTTCAACCAATGAGATTTGTTGTTTTAAATTGACTGCATTTCAGGGATTTATCTAGCTATTTTGTTTTACTACCGTTTTATAAGTAAAGGGGAAAAATGAGAGCCGCAGGCTCGATCTGAGCGCCGGAGGCGCGAGTATTCTAGGGGGGTCCGGGGGCATGCCCCCCCGAAAAATTTTTAAATAAATGGAGCAAAATCCTGCATTCTTAGAGCTTCTGGGGGTCATTTGTAGACCTTTACAAAAGCCACAAAAACTTCACTTTTGAGACAAAATATTAAATAACCAAAAAAAAAAAAAAATTTAAACCAAGTCAGTACTTTATTTAATTTTTTCTCTCAATATCTATCACAAATCAATTCTGTCTTTCATGTTTCACTACTAACATTGTTTTTGTTGTTATTCCATTCTTCCGATTCATAGTGATTTAAGCTCCATCTTACTCATCTACACTTTTCTTAACTCTGCAATCGCATACGTATATTTTGACATCATGGCCACATGGCACATGTTTACCGATCAATATCAACTAGAAGCTTGAATAATCTACTCTCGCTTTTAAAAGCGTTTGAATGACTAGGATTGTGAATTAGGATATGCTGTTAAACTTCAATCGGACAAAAACGGAAAATTTCAGTACGATGATTTAAATATTCTCAGTTTAATTGGAGACTTTTCTATCTGAAAAAGGGGAATTTTTCACCTTTTTAAAGAGGGGAAAGGTACCGTTTACCGGTAGTAAAAACAGCCTTGATAAATCCCTGCATTTAAAACGAAAGTAAAAGAAGAAAGAAAGTCGTACACAAAATATTTCCAAATAACATCGCTAAAAATTGAATGCGCACCTTGGCACCATGATTGATTGATTTAATGCGCCATTTTTCACTTCAATGCAACTATGGCGCGTGGCGCAAGCCCTTCCCAATCACTGCAATATAGGCCATTCATCAAAATTTTAGGAAAATATTTCTATGAATTTTTCAAGAAGTTCTGAAAAAATGGATAGTTTTTTAGCTCACCTGAGCCGAAGGCTCAAGTGAGCTTTTCTGATCACATTTTGTCCGGCGTCTGTCTGTCTGTCTGTAAACTTTTCACATTTTCGACTTCTTCTCAAGAACCGCTGGGCCAATGAATTTCAACCAAACTTGCCACAAAGTATCCTTGGGTGAAGGGGATTGAAGTTTGTTCAAATGAAGGGCCACGCCCTCATTCAAGGGGAGATAATTGGGAATTAATGAAAATTTGGTAGTATGTTTTAAAAATCTTCTTCTCAAGAACCACTGTGCCAGGAAAGATGAAACTTATGGGGAAACATCCTCAGGTAGTGTAGATTCAAGTTTGTTCAAATCATGACCCCCGGGGGTAGGGCGGGGCCAAAATGGCTGACCAAAGTTTAACATAGAAATATATAGGAAATTTCTTAAAAAATCTTCTCCTCAAGAACAACAAAGCCATAATTGATCATATTTATATGGAAGCATCCTCAGGTAGTGTAGATTCAAGTTTGTTCAAATCATGACCCCCAGGGGTAGGGCTGAACCAAAATGGCCGACCAAAGTTTTACATAGAAATATATAGGAAAATTCTTTAAAAATCTTCTTCTCAAGAATAGCAAAGCAATAATTGATCATATTTATATGGAAGCATCCTCAGGTAGTGTAGATTCAAGTTTGTTCAAATCATGACCCCCGGGGATAGGGCGGGGCCACAATAGGAAATCCAAGTTTACATAGAAATATATAGAACAAATCTTTAAAAATCTTCTTCTCAAGAACTACTGGGCCAGGAAAGATGAAACTCATGTGGAATCATCCTCAGGTAGTGTAAATTCAGGTTTGTTCAAATCATGACCCCCGGGGGTAGGGTGGGGCCAAATGGCCAATAACAGTTTTACATCTATAGGAATATATAGGGAAACCTTTTAAAATCTTGCCATGCTTAGTGATATTTATAGGGAATCATCCTCAGGTAGTGTAGATTCTAGTTTGTTCAAATCATGACGCCCTGGGGGGTTAAAATTCAAGCCCCTCCCCCCCCACCTCAGTAAACTTTCAGTTCTGATCTGATATGTGCTTTTTCCTAGCCAATTGCTCAGGTGAGTGATGTGGCCCCTGGGCCTCTTGTTTCATGTGGCATGAAGGCGATACTGGAAACTTACTTATATACTTGCAACTTATACTTATATACTGTCTCGGTACGTGTAGTAAGTTATTCGTTTTTACAGTGTACATGTATTAGTCTAATAAAGGCCTTTCACAAAAATTAAATGTGATCTAAATCAATGTAGGAGAAAGTGTTGCTATTTCGGACTGGGGTCAGCGAAACGTAAATCATTTTTATTAGCTCTACTGGTCAGAGACCAGAAGAGCTTATGCGATAGTAATGTGTCCAGCGTCCGTCCGTCCGTCTGTCTGTCTGTCTGTCCGTCTGTCTGTAAACAATTTTTCAAAACGCTACTCCTCCTACAATTTTAGTCTGATTTCAATATTACTTGGCACACAAGTAGACTACACTAAGATACATAGAATAGTGCATCGGTTTTTGATTTCGATGAACGGTGTTGCCATGGTTACTAAAAATAGAATTTTCTGTGAAATTCCTTTAAAACGCTACTCCTTCTACAGTTTTGGTCTGATTACAATATAACTTGGCACACAAGTAAACTACACTAAGATACATAGAATAGCGCATCAGTTTTTGATTTCGATGAACGGTGTTGCCATGGTTACTAAAAATAGAATTTTCTGTGAAATTCATAAAAAACGCTACTCCTTCTACAGTTTTTGTCTGATTTCAATATAACTTGGCACACAAGTAGACTACACTAAGATACATAGAATAGTGCATCGGTTTTTGATTTCGGTGAACGGTGTTGCCATGGTTACTAAAAATAGAATTTTCTGTGAAATTTCTTTAAAACACTACTCCTTCTACAGTTTTTGTCTGATTTCAAAAGTTGGCACACAAGTAGACTACACAAAGATACATGAAATAGTGCAATGGTTTTTGATAAGTACAAACCAGTAGAGCTACAGTCTCGACAGAGACTTCTGGTTAATTATTTATTACATTTGTGATGCCAGTCGATGCAGACTTCACGACAAACACAATTTGTGTTTTGGAAAGGGGTAAAACAATAATTGTCAATTTAAATACTAGTATACATCCTGGTAGCTGCTTCCGATATAATTGTTTATGTTGAAAATATTCTGACTTAGTCACTCAGAATAAAATAAAGTTTCTTGGGTGATCTCCCTTTGATTACATAGTGACCATGGAAACGAGGAGACGGAATCGGGAGATAAAACTTGTATACATTGTAAAATAAATAAGATTGGGGGGGAAATAGTACCCATTTTTTTTTAAACATTTCAGCATAATCAATGATAGGGTGAAAAGAGGAGAGGAGCGGATCGTCACCCTTGGCTAGCGAAGATGAGTTAAACCTAGATCAGCTGCCCTTGACTAAAAAGTCTTGGGTTAGAAATGAGGCGCGACAAGTCGACATTGCACCTTCGACTTTTTCTTTGAAAAAGATCTTTGAATTTGTAGTATCTTCTGTAAACAGCATGTGAGAGAGAGAGAGAGAGAGAGAGATGGGGGAGGGAGAAAGATAACTTAAAGCCATGACTTTGAAATTAATAATACTTTCTCAGCCTTTTCAAATCAACATAATTTATCATAAAACTCTGAATGTATAATGAATTCATGTTTCTGACTTTTTGTTTACGTATTTTCTCTTGTTTGTTATACCAGCTCTTTTGAGACAACCCCGTATATGGTTAATTCGGAACTGCTTAAAATGGGATGTTGTGAAATGAATATTGCTCTTTATTTTGGATTTACGTCGTATTTTAATGAAACCGAAATTTTATGAGATAGAAGATACATCAATGTTTCATTCACATATCTTAATGAAATACATACCTTACCGCAGTTTCAGAGCACGTCTTTACTTTCAAGATAGCATGTGTTTAAGTCGGTCAACGTCACTTAAGCGCTTGTGGTTGTAAACAAAAAGCCTGGACATGGTAAGAAAGACGGAGTTCTTGATCTCGCTATGTCATCCAGAGTATGGACAATACATAAAGCTTCATTTATGTAAAGAATCATTAGAAACAGAAACATTTACGTTTGCATAATTTTAATTATTTAATTAAAATTATTCGGAACTGCTTAAAATCCGGAACTGCTGAAAGCACTGTAATAGTATAAATTTTATTTTGTTCAGAGGGTGTGGCCACAGTGAAAATTTGAACCAAAGACAAAAAAAAAAAATGCTTTAGTTGATAAGAAAAGTGGCAAAATGCATGTGTTTAGATGTCTTCTGCACAAATATGATATCATCAAATAAAACTTTTAGCGTAAACTATTCAAGTTTGATTCCTAAGGATAATATTTCCATAAATAATTTTCTTCTTCCTCTCACTTTAATTTTCCTAAAATAATTAGGCCGATTTAGCCCATTCGTGGATTTAGCTCTTTCTCAAGAAGGGTACTGTTCTTTCCCCCAAAACCTAGATTAACCCCTGACTTTTTAATTTCATGATGTAGGTAGCTCTGCATTGGTGTCAAACCCTGTGTTTTGCATTATCTTTGAAATCGCTTATCGGTTGTCATTAGATTTTTTTTTCCATTTTAGAACGAGATGTTCTCAGTCTGATGCTAAACTAACTATTCCTTATTTTGATGGAGAATTAAGAGCAGACCATTTATTTCATCAGCATCCCCAAGGAACGATACCACCACAGGAGAGATACTACAAAATAGAGACTGAGCACGGAGGAACAGTGTTAAACTTAGACTCAGCCGACCCATTTACCATATCAAGTAAGCCAAGGCCTAACAAAACAAATTTGTTTGTTTTCCATATAAAGATGAAGTTGGCAATGCCACACCAACAATATTTAATATAATTGTGGATTTAGCAAAACAAAATTTTCACAAACTTCCAATGTCATTATCAGCTCTAGAATCCATGCTATTGACCATTTGTTATGGCATGTTGGATATTGATAGCAAATGTATATTGTCTCAAAAATTTCTACCCTGTATTCATTTAAAATATCTAGAGTAGAAAATACATCACAAGTATAGAGGATACCTTTACTTTTTAAATCTTTATTAACAAACTTGCTTTGTAAACTGTTAATATAAACTTTTCTTGTTATATATGTTATGACTTTTCCAGAACCATTGGATCAATTTTAACTGAACTTGACACAAAATAAGAGGGTTCAAGTTTGATTAAATGAAGGGTCACGCCTTCATTCAAGGGTAGAGAATTTAACATTTCAATACTGAATTGATATGTGTGTTTTTAGCAATGTACTCAGGTGAGCCATATGGGCATTTGTTTGGGAATGTTACTGAAGACAAAAATTTTTTTGGTCTAATTCTCATTTTGATTCTCATTCTTTCATATCTATATGTGTGTGTAATTTCAGTGGTTTAAATTTTCCTGTCGCTCTTAAGGTAGGATTCTTCTCACATTTCTTGTATTTAAAAAGTAATGAAATTTTCACAGAATCAAGAGGACAATATTACTAAGTGATGGTATCAGTGAGATTAAATTTGACTGTTTAATAATAGAAGCAAGGTCAGGTCAAGGTCATTACCTTCTTCTTGGACATTAAGAATTAAAAACTACTGTTTCCAATCATGCGATCCATATTTGTAATTCAAAAGATTGAATGTTTTTCTTTTTGCATAAAAAGATACACAATATAGGGCTTATAAGATGATATTACCAAATTGACATGGATAATTTAAATAAAATGGATATTTGCTAATCCGAATTTCCTCTACTTTTCTTAAATTTTTAGGATTTATAAGTTATTTTTATATGCTTCCTATATTTAACTTTTTCCAATTTTCACATATAGTAAAGTTGTCACATAAAGGTACAAAATGATACAAAAACTAAAAGTTTTGATAGTTTACTAAGAGAGAAATAACACTTTTTACGGATTTTTGGCTCAAATCTGTACTTATATTTGAAGCATTCAAAAATTAAGCCAACATAGTTCTGGTATGTGTTAAAAATCTTATTTATTTGATATATTTTGAAACTTTAGTCCCTTATTATTAATTTAACTTACATTTGAAAATTTCGTCTAGTCTTTGATTGCTTAAAATTATAACTAAATTCAATGTTCTATAATAATTTTGAGAGCCAGAAAAGAAGATATTTTCATACGCCACCATTCCGCCAAAAATATAGTCCCTGCTAGTTTTCAAACGCAGTTTGCCATTTCTATTTAAAGTTGTATAATTGTGATGAGGAAAGAAAAATATGGTCTTTTAAATCTCTTACATCTAAATATATAAGACATATCAACAAATGTACTTTGAATATTCCATCTAGTCAGAAACCAGAGAAGAATCCTACCTTAAGTGATGTTGATACTGAGCTTGCTGTGTTGAAAACAGTATTTTTCTCTGTCAGAAACATTTTCTTTCTTTTTTCAGAACCTGCAAGCTTATTAGTGTTTTCTTCTGGTAGTTCCCCACCAAGTACTATTGTGGCTAACACAGATTTCAATGTAACTGTTGAAATCTTAGATGCTGATAACAACACTATAACGTCAGGAATAGATGCTACCTTAGAAATGACTCTACAAGTGGCATATTTCAAGGGACTCGTTGAGCATTATTCATCAGTTCCATTTGAAGATATGGTTAGCACTATGCATGTAAGTGAAATTCACATATTTTTAAGACTTGATTTCACCAATTTGATGAGTTTATGTATATTGTGTGTTATCATGGGTATTTTACATCCCAAGCTTTTATGAGGTAAACTCACATACTTTCTAAAGCCTTTACTGGGCCTAACCAGCAGAGATGATGTACTGTAGATCACTAATTTTTGTGACACCTCATTTATGCAAGATAGTCATTAACTTTCTAAACATGCTAAACATGTTAAAAGGAGACAAAATTTTCACAAATTGTAGATATTGCTCTATGCATGTATAATCTTTAGGAATACTTAAGTAATTTTATGTGAGAATAACATTTTTAGGAGCACAATGCCTTGCATAAAAAACAAAAAATAAAGTTTTTGTAAATAAAAAGTGATTTACCTTGGGCTTGGAGTAACTAGGGCTTCTTACTGCTAGTTGTGCTGCACTTTTCATGTACATTCCCAAATACGAGGGTTGTTCGAAAAGTTCGTGGACTACGCTCATATCTTTTTTATTTGACGTCTTATCTTATCCAAATTTGGTAGAAACATTTTAACAATAAATCCAAAGGATTTGTATTATTATTTTTCCAAATACCACGATTTTTTCAAAACTTATCCAGATTTTAAAAATGCAAAAATCGGATCGTGGAGCAGGTCAAAATTTAGTAAGTTACGAACAATACACTAGATGATGTCTGTAGTCATATTCTCTGTAAAATGAAGCAAAAACGAAAAACAATCGAGAAATCCAAATTTAGAATTGTTACATCGATTCGTATTCCAAATTATGGCTTAATATTTTGCTTTGTAGAAAAGAAATCAGCTTGAGAAGATAGGTTGTCCTTATTGAAAACGATAAAAACGATGACGTTTTCGTCACGGAGAAGCCGATAACGATGCAATTTTGTGCTTACTCACGAAAATTCCTGAATAAACTCAAAAAGTGTTGAAGGAATAAAAAATATGTCACAAGCGAGTTCTGCATGTGTGTACAAATAGTATAGATATTATTTGAGTGACAGAGTTCTTGTATCACATGAGGACAATCTGGGAAGAAACGTTTATCAGTAAAAATCTTTACAAAAACTTTTAAAAGTTTGAACGTCAAGGAAAAACATAGGCGCTTTAGAGTTGCTTATCCTGTGAACGCAGAGTTAAGTAAAATTCTAAAAAAGGAAATTATACAACGAGAACAATTCTAAAAAAAAAATGAATTTCAAGTATTAGAAAAAGGATTTAATGATTGGTCATGGATTATACTTTGTGAAATGTATAGGAATAGTATATTTTAGAAATTCTTGACACTATATTTTGACGTTACATTGCCGGTAAGGGTGCTCCGCGGGTACAAAACATGTTGATTTTAAAATGAAGTTATTTTTTTTCTGTTAAATCGAATGGGATGAAACATCACACATCAACAAAACAAATATTTTTACATAGTATATTACACTTATTTTAAATTTCTAGTGAGAAACATAACGAAGATTGACATCGTCCACAAACTTTTCGAACAACCTTCGTATTTAGGAATGTGCTGTCATTGTTGATAGTAACTTGTTTTCTCACAAGATTATATCATGTTCAACTATTTAGAATACTCAATAGAATAGAAAGAACATTAGTTATACTCAGCACACAATTTATTCTGATCAGGATATGTCTGTTTCAAAACTTGGCATCTATTTTCGTTCAGTGTGGATTCAGTTTTCCAAAGAAAAAATATCAAAATTCACCAAAAGTTGAATTAGGCCATCATTAAAAATATTTTCAATTTTTCAAAAATATTTTCAATTTTTCAAGGTGGGTAGGTAGGTAAGTGTTTAATTTTTGTTTATTGTAATTTTTTTTGCATAATACGGTATTGAACAAATTGATAGATGTCACAGACTCAGAAATTGAATTGTCATCATGTTTTCACTACACACTGGACAGGGTTTTTACTGAGCAAAACAAGAAACATCACAATTTGGACACACAACCCTTTCAAGTAAGGGTGAATCGTTTACTGAATTTTGTAAACTTTTAAATGAACAGCAGTAAATGAAACAGTACCGTTTAAACGGGAGAATTTTATGTGTTGAATTTTTATGGCTACTTACTCATGAAACACTAATTTAATATACCATTCTTTCACTATACTGTAAGTATGAGTTGTCATTACTGTTTATTTGTTGGTTTTTATGACAAAAGAGTAGGAAGTGTCAAAAACTGAAACGAGATAGTAATATAAAAATGTGATATGATAACATTGAAGGTTCCGGTTTACGTTCAATTTTTCAAAGCTCTATATTCAACATTATACCGTTATAAGCATGATACTTTTTATTTTCTAATCAATAAAAAGCAACAACTGGGGTTATTTATTTTTAGAACATATACTTGGAAAAATAAAATATTTAATACATCGCTAGTTTTCACTACTCTGAAATCAGAATTAAATATGTTAGACCATATTGGTTTCTAGATAGTTTTCTTTAATATTAAGTTTCCGGTATCGATTATAACAGAAAAAAAAATTGTTTGTAACAGACACAGAGTGTGTTTTCTTTGGTAAATATGAAATTAAACAACTTGTTTGGATGAAAGGTTTTTTTTCTGATAGACATTGATATTAACCTTTGTGTAAACGTTTACTCAATTTGTAAACGTTTAGAGCATTTAATTGAAACGTCGCCGTTTACACGAGTAATCGTTTTGCCCTTACTATCAAGTTAACTAGCCTAATCACTCTGACTAATTATGAATGAATTTTGTTAAGAATAAAATAAGAATGACCTAAAGGGCACATGCCCCTAGCCACAATCCCCCTAAGATTTTTGTCTTAGTTTTAAGTTCTTTTGCAAAACAAGCCTCAGATCTGTCTAAAATATGCATTCTTTAAACAGGGCTCGACATTAACTTTTTTTCCTACTTGTCCATTCGGACAAGTGACCAAGATATTTACTTGTCCGAACTTCAACTTCACTTGTCCGAAAATTTTTCAATTAATGTTTTGTTATGTTAACTTGAAAACAATTAAAAAATTAAATGTGCTTGATTTATTACTTTTGTTATTGATAAATAAGACAAACACATATAAAACAAAATTTTATCTAGACTTCCTGTCCTGACAACAGCATAAATTTTTGCAAGTGGATCTGTAATATCAATCAAATATATTCTAAACTCACAAACGTCGTAAGATCCACGCCATGCAATAGTATGGCTGCAATTAGTGAACATTGATCCCGATCAAGTGTGAACTTACATAGCGATTGATATCGGGATCGAAATTCAGGTTTATGTACTGCTTCCGTCTTTATTCGATAAAGTTTACAATAGTTGTTTTTTATGATTATTATTATTTGAAAACTTCTTTACATAGAAAAAATCACTTGTCCAATCGGACAAGTGCCCAACAATATTCACTTGTCCGAAATTTTTTTTCATTGGTACCGGACAAGCGGACAAGCGTTAATGTCGAGCCCTGTTAAAGTTCTGGAACAAAAGTGATTTTGTCACGTAACATGATTTTAGGACTAACAGTAAAAAAATGTCTTTGACAGGTCCGTTTAGCTGGTGACAATGTAATTCAGTCTAAATCTACATATGATTTTGTGGACAACCAAAGAGCTGCTGGTGGCACTGCATCCTTCACAGGACTACGTATCCTGGATGTTCACGACTGTGTACAGTTAAACATCACCATGAAAATGCCAGGCTTCCCCAATGCCAGATTACCAAACGTTTACAATGACACTGCACTGAAATTTGAATACAGTGTGCCAGGGAAAAGAACAGCCTTTGTCTACAATGGGACCTCCGATCGAGCCATCTTAATAAGTGAATGTATTAATGTAACAGGTAGGGATTGGATCTCTGTAGAACTTCTGTAACACTTAGGGATTGGATCTCTATAGAACTTCTGTAAACACTTAGGGCTTGGATCTATATCGAACTTCTGTAACAGGTAGGGATTGGATCTCTATAGAACTTCTGTAACAGGTAGGGATTGGATCTCTATACAACTGTAACACGTAGGGATTGGATTTATATCGAACTTCTGTACCAGGTAGGGATTGGATCTCTATAGAACTTCTGTAACAGGTAGGGATTGGATCTCTATACAACTGTAACACTTAGGGATTGGATCTCTATACAACTGTAACACGTAGGGATTGGATCTATATCGAACTTCTGTAACAAGTAGGGATTTGATCTCTATAGAACTTCTGTAACAGGTAGGGATTGGATCTCTATAGAACTTCTGTAACATGTAGGTACAACTTCTGTATCAGGTAGGGATTGGATCTCTTTAGAACTTCTGTAACAGGTAGGGATTGGATCTGTGTCGAACTTCTGTATCAGTTAGGGATTGGGTCTCTATAGAACTTCTGTATCAGTTAGGGATTGGGTCTCTATAGAATTTCTGTATCAGTTAGGGATTGGGTCTCTATAGAACTTCTGTATCAGTTAGGGATTGGGTCTCTATAGAATTTCTGTATCAGTTAGGGATTGGGTCTCTATAGAACTTCTGTGACAGGTAGGGATTGGATCTCTATAGAACTTCTGTAACATGTAGGGATTGGATCTCTATAGAACTTCTGTAACAGGTTGGGATTGGATCTATATCGAACTTCTGTAACACTTAGGGATTGGATCTCTATAGAACTTCTGTAACATGTAGGGATTGGATCTCTACATAACTTCTGTAACAGGTAGGGATTGGATCTTTATAGAACTTCTTTAACAGGTAGGGATTGGATCTCTATAGAACTTCTATAACACATTGGGATTGAGTCTATAGAACTTCTGTAACAGGTAGGGATTGGGTCTCTATAGAACTTCTGTATCAGGTACTACAGGTAGGGATTGGATCTCTAAAGCATTTCTGCAACAGTTAGAGATAAGATTTATAGCATTTTTGTAACAGTTAGAAATTGGATCTTTATCATTTCTGTAACAGGAAAGGACTGAATCTCTATATAGCATTTTTGTAACAGGTAGGGAGTGAATCTCTTCAGCACTGCTATCTTATTTTTAGGTCACCTAAGTTGTTCTGCTGTCCTTTTTCCTGCAATTTTTCAAGAATAACACTAAAATATAATTCTTATTAAGGTTTGAATCTGTTTATATTTCTGATCAGCAATGTGGTAGAAGTGAAAAATGGTTCACCGTGGTGTATTTCTAGGTTTGATACATAGTACAAAATCTTCATTTTCAGTTCAGTTGGTATTTCTGTCGGGATCGTCATTCAGTCAGGTTTGGCATAAGGTATAAACATGCTCCTCGGTATAATTAGTACAAAAAATTTAAATTTTTGTGGACTGATGGTTTGTAAAATAATTTTTAACAGTCAGATCAATATTAAATTCAGACTTGTCGAAATTTTAAAATCACTGTCAGACATTTGGTCTGACAAATTCAAAGGTTCTGTCGGACCAGTCAATGTTTCGTCAGACCAGATACATGTACCTTATTTTGACGCTGTGAAAGTCATATGAATAACAGCACCAAAATGCCCTGGATTATAATACCGCCCGCAAACGAAGTTTGGGGGGGGGGTAGATAGGAATCAGCTTGTCTGTCTGTCCATCTGTCTGCAAACGTGTACGGTCCATGTCTTTCTTACGGAGGAACATTAGAATCTACTACTTCACACATAGATTGCTCATGACCTAAGGGTGTGTCATGATCTTGACCCATGTAGGCCTAAATGAAATCCAAGAGAGTGCATTTACTGAAATATGTAGCCAAAATCAATGTAACTAAATTCTAAGGAATATATACAATTGAAATTCATTGCAGCTCGATGCTGCCAAAAATACCTGTATTGAGTAAGGCCAGGTAAAATTAATCTTTAGATTCTCATCCTAATTTGCAAAAAAATTGGGGCGGGTGGGCGGATTTTATTTTTTATTTTTTATAATTGTTAATTCATATATATAGGCCTAAGTATCAACAAAACAATGGACGCCCCGTACACATTTTTTTCATTACCTTATTGCAAATATGAATAGATTTAATTCTTTTCATATTCTTTTAAATATTTAAAGAAAATTTTTGCTTTAAAAGTTAAATGTTTATTGTTAATTAACAAATTATCAAGTACACATTATACGGCACACCCTGAACAAAATGAGGTGGGGATACCAATAAATTGTGTATGCGTGACTTCTTATTTTGCAAAATCTATATAAATGTTCTAATAATTATTCTACTGAAAAATATAGGCCTTCTCTTAAGTCTGTCTACGATGTTGTAGATTTTTTTTTTATTTCAAAGCTAAGTCACACAGCTGGAGATCGTTATTTATATAGAACTTGACCAGGTGTCATTTTCCTCGTCTATTTTTACTTAGGTAGTTACAATCTCTCTACATACTTGCTCCTGCCAGTGATGGTATCTATATGTGTTTATGCTATTTTTTCTTCTCTGCCTTCTCTATACTGACAAATTATCTTTTCCTTACACATTTAAACTGCTTTTATTGCCGATTTTTCTCCATTCTTCACATTGCGTTTTTGCTATAAATAGCGGCACGCAACTTTTAATACAGACGGGAGATAACTCTTAAACTTTGACCCAAATTCTTACTGAATAAAAATACATGAAAATACCCAAAAAATCAAAATAAAAAACATCGGGGCGGGACATTTTGAGAGGGGCGGGCGGGGATGAGAATCTAAAGATTAATTTTATATGGCCTAACGCATAGTGAGTTATTCCTCGGAGAAAGTGTGCTTATACTGAGGTTCGTTCCGCCTGACTGACAACTGTACATTGGATTGTTACGATTTGATATCTCTTTAATTGTTTCTTATATCAAGAATGGGCATGCATAAAGGATTGATAATTGAAGAAAAAATACACAAGTCTAAAAAAAAATTAAAATAGTCTTTGAAAAGGCGAAATTTAAAACTTTAAAAATGTTGTACGAGGTGGATTCGAACCCCCGACTTTAAAAAGAAACTAACCAAGGTGTAAAAGTCAGCGTATATATATCAACTGAGCTAGTCTGACTTTAACAATGAATGGCATAAAGAAGATGGGCGCATTTGGCGTGTGATCTGCAGGAATCATTTGTACGAAACATTTATGGTTTAAATGTCCATGATTTGGTTGGCTGAACATAGCTGGTCAGATTTTACATACACTTCCATAGGTTTTTTTGATATATTCGATCAGTGCATACTATTAGTTCAAGATATATTACTGTAGTCAGCGGCGACTCGCACAAATTGTTCCGACGAAAATAGTTCCATCATTAATAAGTAGATACAACATAATTGTTCATGATAAGAATAATGTTGTGTATGTCATTCGTTAAAGAAACCAAAATTAATGTTAATTTTTCCTCCAAAGATCACTTTCCCCCCTAAATGCAAATAAAAAATGTGAATATTCCTACGCTCGCTCCCTCCTCAGCTTTTAGGTCACCTGAGTAAACTCAGGTGACCTATTGCTATCTGTTTTCGTCCGTCGTCGTGCGTCGTCCGTCGTGCGTTAACATTTGAACATTTTCAGCTTCTTCTCTGCAACCACTGAACCAATTTCAACCAAATTTGGCACAAAGCATCTATGGGTGAAGGGGAACAAAAATTGTGAATTTCATGATCCCTGCCCCCCTGGGGCCTGAGGGGTGGGGCCAAAACCACTAAAATTAATGCAATCTTTAAAAATCTTCTTCTTTACTCCTGGACATCAAGCAGTCAAACTGTTTGCATGATTGTAATCAGCAATAAGTCCTCTACCAAAATTGTGAAATTCATGGCCCTGGGGTCAGGGGTTCTAGTTCTAGGGCGGGGCTAAATAAGTAGGTAGTGAAAATACATTATTTCTTTGAAAATCTTCTTCTCTGCTCCTAGGTATTAAATAAACCAACTAAGTACATAGTTATGATGAGCAAGAGTGCCTCTACCAAAATTGGGAATTTTATGGCCCCAGGGTCAGGGGTTCTTGTTTTAGGGTGGGGCTCTAATGATGATATAGTGAAATGCATGAATTCTTTTGACCTTGACCCAAGGTCATTTGGGAAAGTTCAAGGTCACTGGAAGAAAATTTTCATAAATCATGTTTGATACATATCTTTTATAGATAAACTTGGTAGGTTCTCATTTCACACTAAGATTGCCTATGACCCAAGGGTGTGTCATGACCTTGACCCAAGGTCATTTGGGAATGTTCAAGGTCACTGGAAGAAATTTTTTTATATTCCCTGTCCGGTCCATATTTTTTTTTATGGATAAACTTGGTAGGTTCTCATTTCACACAAAGATTGCCCATGACCCAAGGGTGTGTCATGACCTTGACCAAAGGTCATTCGGGGAAGTTCAAGGTCACTGGTAGAAAAATTTCATAATTCGTGTTCGGTCCATATCTTTCTTATGCATAAACTTGGTAGGTTCTCATTTCACACAAAGATTGCCCATGACCCAAGGGTGTGTCATGACCTTGACCCAAGGTCATTCGGGGAAGTTCAAGGTCACTGGTAGAAAAATTTCATAATTCGTGTTTGGTCCATATCTTTCTTCTGGATAAACTTGGTAGGTTCTCATTTCACACAAAGATTGCCCATGACCCAAGGGTGTGTCATGACCTTGACCCGAGGTCATTTTGGGAAGTTCAAGGTCACTGGTAGAAAAATTTCATAATTTGTGTCCGGTCCATATCTTTCTTATGGATAAACTTGGTAGGTTTTTATTTCACACAAAGATTGCCCATGACCCAAGGGTGTGTCATGACCTTGACCCAAGGTCATTTGGGGAAGTTCAAGGTCACTGGAAGAAAAATTTCATAATTCGTGTCCAGTCCATATCTTTCTTATGGATAAACTTGGTAGGTTCTCATTTCACTGAAAGATT